GAAGCTAAGTCGGGGAACAGGTAGGGAAGGGAGAGACGGCCTAGTGCGGCAGAGGCCGATGAGGAGTAGCGGGCAACGACAACAGTGTACAGTGCCTGCGCAGTCTTGTGCTGCCCAAAGTGCTCGCGCTCATCTATCGGCAGAGAGTTGCAAATAGCGAAGCGAGCATGGGCGTCACGAGTCTGCCACTGTGAGCGGGCAGTGCTGTCAGCAGTAGCAGCAGGAGCAGTAGCGTGGCCTAGGGCGTGATCGTACAGTGAGATGTCTTCCTTGGCAGTGAGCTGTAGGAAGAGGTGTAGGTCATCAAGCCAGGTGTCGAACTTCACTGGGCGGCCCTCAGCATCGAAGGCTAGCACAGGAGGGCTAGCCATGGTAGCAGTAGCGGGAAAAGCAGTAGGAGCACTCAAAGGGTAGGTAGGGCGGCGCGGCTCAGTAAAGGCGGCGCGGCTCGGTACAGGTAGGGCGGCGCGGCTCGGTACAGGTAGGGCGGCGCGGCTCGGTAAGGGCGGCGCGGTTAGGTTCGGGCGGCGCGGCTCGGTTAGGGCTGGGCGGCTCGGGTCGGGCGGCTCGGTTTGGGTGGGGCCGCTCGGGGCCTATAGAGGCGAGCGCGGGGAGCGGGTGGGGCCGATCGGGGGGACGAGCACGGGGCCGACGTGGGCCTCTAAGGGCGAGCGCGGGGCCGATCGGGGCCGTTAAGGACGAGCGCGGGGCCGAACAGGGGCCGTGAGAGACGAGCGCGGGGCCGTAAGGGCAAACGCGGGGCCTCCGGGGGCCTTAGGGACGAGCGCGGGGCCGATTCGGGGTCTTGAAGGGCGAGCGCGGGGCCGTTCAGGGCCTCTAAGGGCGAGCGCGAGGCCGTTGTGGGCCTCTAGGGGCAAACGCGGGGCCGTTCGGGGCCCGTAAGGGCATGCGCGGGGCCGATCGGGGCCGTTAGGGACGAGCGCGGGGTCGACGTGGGCCTCTAAGAGCGAGCACGGGGCTGATCGGGGCCTCTAGGGGTAAGCGCGGGGCCAATTCGGGGCCTCTAAGGGCGAGCGCGGGGCCGATCGAGGCCTCTAGGTACGAGAGCGCGGGGCCGACGGGGCCTCTAGGGGCGTGAAAGCCGAGGCGCCCTAGGGCGTAGGTAGGTAGGTAGGTAGGTAGGTAGTGGTGGGCCCTAAAAAAAATCGGTCCTAGGAAGGACCTGCTCTATACCATGTTGAACAAGAATGAATGAACTAACAGTGAAATGAGTACAAGTAGGAAACCCTAGAAATGTGTACCCCCTATAGGCTAACCCACTGTAGCGTAAATAACTACAACAACATATATAATGTTTGACACCCGGCACTCACGATATGACACTCTGTCCTTCCTTTGTTCCACAGCGTGTTGTCCTACCGTTCCCTCCTGCGTCCTCACTTCCTGACGTTGCTGACCCTCAGTCTGACCTTGTTCGTGCGTCCAATCCGGCTGTTACTCGCTTCCTTGCTATATCTGTGACAGACCCTACGTTCTCGTCTCCTGCTGCGTCTGCCTTAGTCGCTGAGCTCGTTGACATTGCTGCTGTGTACCGCCTAGACTACCTTGCGAGTCTTCTCTCTGACCTTGTCTCTGCCTGTCCTCCGTCCGTCGGGGGTGAGACTGCCCTTGGCTGTGACATTCTTGAGGACAGACAGGAGGAGCTGGAGTGCCTTGCTGCCGCTTCACCCCAACAAGCGACCATGCTGCTTGCCCCTGAGGGAGACCCGAATGCACTTGACATCTCCACCCCATGCTCCTACAAGGAGGCGATTTCGGGTGAGTACTCCTCTCAGTGGCAGACAGCCATGGACGCAGAGATGGCTTCCTGGAAGTTTACAGGCACCTACGTCGACGAGGTTCCCCCACCTAGGGCGAACATCATCAGTGGCATATGGATTTTCAGGGTGAAGCGGCCGCCGGGTTCTCCGCCTGTCTTCAAGGCACGTTACGTTGCTCGAGGCTTGAGTCAGCGTGAGGGGGTCGACTTCTTTCAGACCTTCTCCCCCACCCCGAAGATGACCACTCTTCGGGTGTTGCTACACGTTGCAGCTTAGCGTGACTACGAGCTGCACTCCCTCAACTTCTCGACAACTTTCTTGCAGGGTAGCCTCCACGACGCCATCTGGTTGCGCCGTCCACATGACTTCACTGGGTCGTTTCCTGAGGGTACCCAGTAGAGCCTACGGCGACTAGTGTACGGCCTGCGTCAGGCGCCTCGCGAGTGGCACAACACACTGAGGACGACACTTGCGGCTCTTGGGTTTGCTCCTTCGACTGCTGACCCGTCGCTGTTTCTACGCGCCGACACTACTCTGCCGCCGTTCTACATCCTCGTGTACGTCGACGACTTGGTTTTTGCTACTGCTGACACTGAGGCACTGGCCCTAGGGAAGGCATAGCTGCAGGAGAGACACACGTGCACTAACCTGGGTGAGCTGCGGAGCTATCTTGGCTTGCAGATCACCCAGGACAGAGCACGGCGCACCATCACCCTCACTCAGTCACACATGGTGCAGCAGGTCCTTCAGGGCTTCCACTTCGCGTGGTCCTTGCCACAGCCCACTCCTCTGTCTACCGGCCAATCGCTCTCAGCTCCACCTTCGGACGAGTCCGTAGAGCCGAGTGGTCCGTACTCAGAGCTTGTGGGTTGCCTCATGTACCTAATGACGTGCACACGACCTGACCTCGCGTACCCTCTCAGCCTCCTGGCTCGCTACGTGGCTCCTGGTAGACACCGAAAGGTGCACTTTGATGCTACGAAGAGGGTACTGCGTTACTTGTGCAGCACATCGGGCATGGGGCTCGTGCTTAAAGGACGGGGTTCGGTGGTCCTCACAGGACACTATAACGCTTCTTGGGCCGACAACCAGACGACTCAGCGTTCGTCACAGGGTTACACCTTCAGTCTTGGCTCTCATGGAGGTCCACTCGTTCTTCTTCTGTGCTTGGTTCCAGCTGTGAGGCCGAGATCTACGCTGGGGCCATGGCTGCACAGGAGCTCCGCTGGCTGACCTACCTGCTGACCGACTTGGGGGAGCGGCCTCGTTCTCCTCCAATTTTGTTCGTCGATAACAAGGCAATGCTTGCCTTGTGTCGCGAGCAGGGACTGGACCACCGAACGAAGCACATTGCTCTTCGCTACTTCCTTGCGTGTGAGCTGCAGCAGCGTGATCAGCTGCGCCTTGCTTTCGTGGCCTCTCGGGCCAACAGTGCTGATGTTTTCACCAAGGCCTTTGGGTCTGGTGATCATCATCGTTTCTGCACTGCTCTTGGGCTTGTACCAACTCTGCCTCACCTGCTTGTTGCTTGACTTGCTCTTGTTGTATACTGATATATATCTTTATACCTGCTTGTTTACTCTTGCTAGGTTGTGATCAGTGTACTGTCCAGGGCCTCAGAAGTCAGCGAAAAAAGGCTGATTTAGATAAAAAGGGCTGAAATTTCAGACCTTTTTCAGAATTGAGGCTGACTTTTCAGCAATTTTTTGGGATGAAACATGATATTTTACTATATTTGTAGTGTGAAGTGGCATAAAATGGGCTGATTTCTATGTTTTTCAGCATAGAATTTTGTACCAACTGTGATCTTTCAGGCTAGCTTGAAACCAATCTGAGGCCATGGTACTTTCTTGCTACCGTCATCACCCAGATAGTAGACAGGGGTTGTCCATTATCCGAGTGTCTCTTATAAACAGGCTAGCCTCATTATAAGACACCTATTTTTGTGTACGAGTTAAGGGAGTGTAGGGGTTAGGGGCAATTGTCTAACGAGGGGGTGTCTTCTAAACGATTCTTTGTCCATTTATAAGACTTTTAACACACCCTAAACCATCCCAAATACAAGATAACCCAAGCATTTTGAGTAGTGTACGAGATAAGACATATATGTCTAATATCCGGGCGATGACGGTATTATAACTCTGTATGTGAACTGGTCTTATGGCTGCTTGCTTGTGCTCAAATTGTGTGGTGTTCTTGAGATCCACCCTGAGCGAGAACTAAATAGCGAAGGCCACAGTGGTAACGGTAACGAACTGTGGGTGATGCGCGAAGGGTCTGGGACTGAGGTTGGTTGGGAAGTATCGAGGCGGAGGTCTGGAGCGCGGGTTACCAGCCGAGCCATGCGGTTGGGGTGCGACGGGCGAGGTGGCGGGAAATAGTCAAAGAGAGTGTCGCGAGTGGTAACGGCGGCGAGTGTGGCTGGTATAGTGATGTACGCGCTAAGCAGGGATGAGTCATAAGGAAATGGAAGATTCCTTACACATGTACTTCATGATACAGCATTACTCGATACGTTTACGTGTGAGTTTACATTTGCGTTTGCGTTGACGTTTACGTTTACTCGATCCCTTTTGCAATTGGAATGGAGCCAGAAGATGTGAGCAAACCTTGGTAGTTCCCCACCGCATGGCCGTTCCTAGGCAGCATTCTTGTTACTCCATATGACCATTCACTATCGTTCCTACGCGAGGATGGATCGCGCTGTGGGCTCCCTAAGTGCGGTATGTCCTCCGTTGACCATCCCTTCGCTAGCCGGCGAATTCAGCCTCGCGTGCTCAATGTCGTCCTGCACTGCTGCTGTCGTTGCCGTCGTCGGCCTCCCTGCGGCTAAATCCATCATGCGAATCCCTCCCGAACGAAGCCAGCGAATGCATCGGCGAGGTTGTAGCGTCAATTCGCAATGGGGAGAATCGTCGGGCAAGCAGAGTTACGGCGTAGGCCGGAATTCGCCAGTCCGTGCTAAGAACCTTGCAACCGACCCATACGGTAGGACGGTTGAGGGTGTTTTTATCTTCACTGTGCTTACCTTCAGTGTTGCTACTCCTGCCCACACCACACGCTTCTCATCATTTCCACTGCTTTCATTTGCACGGCTGGCTTTCTGTTCGATTGATTTGACCCCCTGTCTCGCACCCTGTAACCACACTTCGTGAAGCGACGCGGATCAGTGACTGCACTCATCATCAGTGTCATGTCACCTGTGTCTGTACCCTATAGTGTCATGCAGAGAGGACATGTTGGACCAGCATCTGACGTTTCGCACAGCAGCACCCGGCGACCTGCATCGCGTGCATTCCCTGGAAGAGGCCGGATACCCCGCAGACGAAGCAGCCTCCCTCGATTCCCTCACCTACCGCATCCACCAAGGTGCCAATCACACTTCGGTTCTCTTCTCTTCCCATCCACCAAGGTGCCTCTACATAGCTGTTTGATCATGACCTGTCTGATCTAGCTGAACGTTGGCCGTTTTCCAGGTTAAACTTTCTCTCAGTCCCTCCTCCACCTCCCGTTCCCCCCCATCCCCTCCCCACTCTTGCATCATTCCCTCCATTTCTCCGCTCTCAGGGTACTTTCTAATCTCTTTGTTTTGTTCAAACATGACAAAATGCTTATAGTGGTGCACTTGAATCGTGCAATCCAGACCATCTCGCCTCGATGTGAACTTCGCGCTCCCTTCCCCACCCTCCCCCTTTCCCAGCCAGCTCGGTGTTTCTGGTGGCGACACTTGGCAGCGAGCTAGTTGGCTTCGTGTGTGGCACTCAGACGCCCAGGGACGAGCTGGATCACGCCTCGATGTTCACCCATGACCCACAAGGCAGTACGTGCATCATGCCACATGCGATATGTTCATTTTTCACAATCAGTCCTTTCCCTCGCCTCCCCCACTCCGTGGTTAGATGGCACTGTGAGTGGCTCGTAGATCGCAAGGACTTCTGCCATGCATCTTTCAACAAAGGTACTTCTGCTTGGCCCTCATTTGACCTATGCTTGCCCGTGAAGTGTCTTCATTTTACACAATATTGCACAACGTCATGTGCAGGGACCTTGTGCATTCATTCCGTGTGTGTGGGCGAAAAGCACCGTCGTCAGGGCATTGGTTCGCGTCTGTTGAGAGCATACATCAAGCACGTATCGACCATTGAACAACCTAGTCTGCACTCCATCCGACTGTTATGCAAGGAGGTAATGATAATCATGTTGATGTTTGTATATATGTTCACTCTCTCTGATTCGTCATTTACGCTTTTGATTTGATTCCATTTATTGGATGTGTGCAGCCACTGATAGGGTTTTATGAAAAATCCGGCTTTACCTTGGTGGGGCCTTCAAGTGTAGTTCATGGAAGGGACATGTGGTTTGAGTGCTTGCACATTATTCAACGAAATTAATGTGCCAAGAAATTCGCTCTGTTTAGCTAACGCGTTTTCTGTTGTACATTTTCAGGGCGTGGTCGCCAACAAAGAATGCCTATATCGAAATCACAGTTCCGGGCATGCGAAAGCGTGACCTCATTGACCACGCGGCGATTTGGTTTTACGATCGCCCCAGCGACGGTTGCGGCAATTCGCAACCGCAAGTTCGCGTTTCGCCTGCGAGCCGCGATTCAACTCGCCGCGCAACCGCCAATCTGCGCCACACGGCATTTCGCATGGACCTCATCCCACCAATTTCCGAGATTTCAAGGAAAACCATTTGTTCCACAATCTAGCCCACAGGAATTCTCGCTTACGTCCCGAGTCAAAGCGGTTGCATGTCTCAAGGCTTTTGCACAACGGCGATTCACGTAGCAACTGTCTTGTGCTGACTCGGTTCCATTCGTGCCGATCGACAGTCCACCAAAGGAATTGTGAGGCGTCGTAAGTTAATCGCTCCTGGAGCTGCGAATTGGCGAGCTGCTTCATCCCAACAACTCCGAGTCGATGACCAATTTCCAGCATCCCTCTTATTTCACTTCAGAAGCTCCGTTAGTCTCGTTTTGACGTAGAAAAATGAATTTTCTCGCAGGTAGGCTTGGCGACGCTGTAGTACTTGCTTCCATGGCAGCCATACTATCTCGCCAGCAAGAACCTCGTTTCCGCCTCTGAAACCATCATTATGATTGAAGCCGCTTCTTCTCTCTAACCACGATTTATCTCCTCCAACCACCTTCATTAGGACAAATCTTCGCCTGCGTACAGCGAGAATGGCAGCAAGGAACAGGCACCTCAACTCTCTCCTGCTGCTGATGCTGCCACTGCTAGCCGTGGTACTAGCTGGTAAAACGCCTGATGGTGGCAGTGCGGAGAGAGGACTCGTGCCCACGGAGCCGACGGCCACGATCAAACTGCGGGGAGGAGATGCAAGCGGCGGCCGGCTCCTCGCATCCTCAAACCTTCCAGCCCATGGATCTTCCGCATATTCTTCCCCTTCCTCTCCCTCTCCACGAAAATCCCAATCATCGCCACGTTCACTACCCTCTGCCGCCGCGGCCATCGAATCCTTGATCCGCGGCCCCCCCTGCTCCTCCAAGTGCCCCTTGGGCTATGAGTTCGAGCCTGTCGCCTCGGGCCTAAAGGACGACCTGCATGGCACCGTGCTGGTTCTCCTCGATGACGTACCCGCTGCAGACACAGACACAGACGCAGACACAGACACAGGCGCAGACACAGACACAGGCACAGACGCCGGCACAGACGGGGCAGCACAGGGCGGGGCTGGCGGCAAGGGTGATAGGCGGACTGGCAGTGCTGACAGTGGGGCTGGCGAGGAGAGTGGGGAGGACGAGGATGATAGGGGGCTTGGGAACGGGCGTGGTGGAGGTGATTTGGAGGAGGTTGAGGAGGAGACTGAGAGAAATAATAGTTGGGCGGATGAGTTGATGGAGCAGGGGCAAGCGCAGGGACAAGGGAAGGGGCAGGGACAAGGGAAGGGGCAGGGACAAGGGAAGGGGCAGAGGCAGGGGCAGGGGCAGGGGCAGGGGCAGGGGCAGGGGCAGGGGCAGGGGCAGGGGCAGGGGCAGGGGCAGAGGCAGGGGCAGGGCAAAGGACAGAGGCAGGTGAAGAAGCGGAGTTGCAAATGCGTGGAGCCTTTCCTCGTGTCGCTGCGGTTCTCCATCTGCTCCTCCAACATCACCCTCAACCCCCGCCTCAACCCCGCCCTCTCCTCCCCACCCGGCCGCCCTGCCCCAGTTCCTCCACCATCCCCTTTGTCGTCCGATCCCCCACCCGCGCCTGACAGGCGGGCGGCGGACACTGGCACCTTCTTCCCGTGGTTCAAACCCAAAGGGCGCAAAGACCCGCCCCGGTCACAGCTAGACGAGGACGACGATGATCAGAGCGTTTCTTTTCAGCGCGACAGGCAGGGCAGGGCAGGGCAGCAGGGGGGTGATGCAGCAGGGCGGGGCAGTGCTCCCCCGGCAGCCATGCCCCTCAACCTACCAGAGCTCGAATACCACTGCCTGCCGCTGCTGGCCCCCCCCTCCCCGCCCCTCTCCACTCCTCCCTCGCGAAACCCGCCTGCCACTGAGGCAGTGCGGAATGCGACAACAGCAGCAGTGGCGACGCTGTTTGCGCCGCCAGCCCTCGCGCGCTTCGCAGGGAGCCTCATGGTGCTGCTGGCACAAAACAACGCCGCCACCGCCGTGGCCGTCACTCCCGTCGGCCTCAGGGGCGTGGATCTCGCCATCTATCCCCGCCTCGGCTTCGACGGCTTCCTCCCGGAAGAGGAAAAGGCGATGTGGAGGCGTCTGGCACGCATTGGCAAGGGCGTTTACGACCTCGGGCCGCGTGGTCCTGGTGCAGTGCAGAACGGTTCTGTGGGTTCTAATTCGTGGGAAGAAAAGATACCTACCGGGCCTTCTCTCTTCAGGGTGTTCTTTGAATTGGTCTATGTTACGCTGCCCAACAACAGCAGGAGCAGCAACCGCAGCAGCAACGTCACTGGCAACACCGTCACCGTTTCTGATGACCCTTATGCTGCTGCGGCTGGAGCACCCCCTGTGGACGGCTGGCCTGTATCAACTGCGGATTCTTCCAGTAACAGCAGCAGGAGCACTGCTGATTCTGCTCCGTCTTCTGGCCTTTCCACTCCCCTCATTGTAGCCATTTCTCTCGCTGCCGCAGCTGCTACCGCCACTGCCGCCATTGCTGCTGTCCTGCTCTTCTGCCCCACCTCCTGCTGTGGCGGCAGGAGGAAGCACCGCAGGAGTGACAGCTCGAGCAGCAGCGGTGGCAAGGGCGGGGGGAAGCTGTTTGGGGCGAATCTGCGGGTGTTTGGAGGGAAGGGGCTCGATGGAGGGATGGTGAAGCTGAATGGTTTCCGCAAGGCGCTTGGAAGCAAAGGTATGCCTTGCTCAGATGAGTTACAAGATGAATTAACTGGAAGATTATTTACGCAGTCTTAGGGGTGTCTCGTACGGCATCGCTAGGACTCTCTCCCTTCGAATCTCTTTCGACTTCCCTATTCCATGGCCTCGCCACCCCATCCCTCCCCTGTTGCTCCTCGTCTCTTTTCCCCTCATGCCTCCTGTCTGCCAACCTTATCTCTGCCCACCCACACCCCGAACATCATTACCTCCAAAACCACCCTCAGTACCACGCACACTTTCTTTCCAACTTTCCTCGCTTCTGTTCCCTCTATCACCCATCCCACCTCCATCCCCATGCGCTCACCTCCCAGCCTTTGCTCGCCTCATCCCTGACCCAGAAGCCATCCTCGCTACAGGCGCACTCGACATAAGCTACGCCGCCATCGAGGCCGCCACGCACCGCTTCAGCGAGAAGAACCTTCTGGGAAGGGGCACGTTCGGGCGCGTGTACAAGGCCACTCTGCCCAATGGAATGAGGCTTGCTATCAAGAGGCTCGACCTGTTGGTTGCTGGGGGAGACGTGGGCCGAGGGGGGGGCGCCGGAGGAGGGCGAGGGGGAGGCCAAGCAGGGGTGTCCAGGGAAGCTGCCAGGAAGCTGTTCGTGCAGCAGGTGGGTGGTTTGTCTCTTGTGGTTCGAGTTATCCTTGCGTGTTTTGTGTTGTGCTGGCATGGGCGTGTAGAGGCACGTGTACAAGGCACTCTGCCCAATGGGCTGAGAGTCTGAGACTCTCCATTAAGAGGCTCGACCTGTTCGTCGCTCACATCTCCCCTTTCCCACATCGCCAGTCCTCTCCACTCTTCCACTGCGCCTTCCTTCCTTCCCCCACCCAAACAGGTAGAGGCAATCTCTCTTATACGCTGCCTGCACGTGGTGCCACTGCTGGGCTACTCCACAGATGGTGTCAGTGCCATGCTTGCATATGAGTTGACGTGCTCTCACTCATGCACTTTGTACCCTCCTCCCCCTACTCCTACTCTCCCTTCAGGTGGAGGCTCTTTCACTCATGCGCTGCCCCCACGTGGTGCCTCTGCTGGGTTACTCCACAGATGGAGTCAGTGCCGTGCTGGCATATGAGTTTGGGCCCAACGGCAGCCTGCACGACCACCTGCATGGTACGTGCCATGTTTTGCTGTGCACCATGGCTGTTACACCCAGTGGCACCTATGCGTCTTACCTCTCTACTGCGGGTGTTGTCAGTACTGTTCTGCCGTGCTGGCATATGAGTTTATGCCCAACGGCAGCTTGCACGACCACCAGCATGGTACGCACTGTGTGGTGCGGCGCGGCGCGGTACACACTGGGTGGGCTGCGCTGTGCTCTGCTGCCCTGGTGCTTCGTGCAAGGCAGGTACTCTTCCAAATGCTGACAGGTGTGCATTCGTCTCCGCCCCCTCGCCCATTCCCCCACTCCGCCCCATGATGTGCGTGGCAAGTGCAGGGCGGCTGGTTTGGGCGCAATGGGTGGAGATCGCAGTGGCATTGGCGAGGGTCCTGCAGAGCCGGCACCTGTGCCTCGTGCCCGTAAACGGGTCTGGCTGCATCAGGGAGCCTGCCGAGCCAGGACCCAGCCCACGCCTCCTCTGCCCCTCCGCCCCTCCACCCCATGGCAGGCTCGGGCCGGCTGGACTGGGCACACCGAGTGGAGATCACCATGGGCATGGCAAGGGGCCTGCAGAGCCTGCACCCATCTCACACACCCCCCGCCGTTCCTCTGCCTTTCCATCGCATGGCAGGATCGGGCCGATTAGGCTGGGCGCACAGGCTGGGCGCACAGGCTGGGCGCACAGGCTGGGCGCACAGGCTGGGCGCACAGGCTGGGCGCACAGGATGAAGATCACCATGGGCGTGGCAAGGGGGCTGCAGAGCCTGCACCAGCGCCTTGTGCCCACCGGATGGACACTAGGCACATGGGCTGGACTAGGCACATGGGCTGGACTAGGCACATGGGCTGGACTAGGCACATGGGCTGGACTAGGCACATCGGCTGGACTAGGCACATCGGCTGGACTAGGCACATCGGCTGGACTAGGCACATCGGCTGGACTAGGCACATCGGCTGGACTAGGCACATCGCCTGGACTAGGCACATCGCCTGGACTAGGCACATCGGCTGGACTAGGCACATCAAAGAAGCTGCAGAGACCGCAGAGCCTGCACCCATCTCACGCTCCCCCCTCTCTCCGTCCCTCCGTCCCTCTGCCCGTCCACGCCATGGCAGGCTCTGGGCGGTTGGACTGGGCGCAGAGGATGAAGATGGCAGTTGCCGTAGCCAGAGGCCTGCAGAGCCCGCACCCTCAGCCCCTCTCACCCCCTTCCCCCCTCTACGCTCTCCGCCCCTCCACCCCATGACCACATGTGGCAGGCTCAGGCCGATTAGACTGGGCACACAGGGTGAAGATCGCAGTTGCCGTAGCCAGGGGCCTGCAGAGCCTGCACCAGCGCCTGGTCCCCATCGGCCCCGCCTCGCCCCTCTCCCACCCCCATGAAGCCACTGCCTCCCAGGACCCATCCCACATGCAGCACCCAGGAGGAGCAACCGGCCAAGCAGCTTCATCTACCTCACCTTACACCACAAACCCCGGCTACGGCTCCAACCCCACTGCCCGCCTCACGCCCCCCGATGTCTCTTCTGACTCTCTACAGAACAGTGCTTTTGCCTCTCCCCATAGTTCCCTGCCCTCGTCCCTCAGCGGCTCCCCCCACAAGCTGGACACGCTGCAGGAGAGCCCGCTGGAAGGGGAAGGGGACGGGGAGGGGGAGGGGTATGGGGACGGAGAGGAGGAGTTTCTTGTCTCTGTGAGCCAGGGGAATGGGGGTGGCGATAGCGATAGCTACAGCAGCAGTGGGGAGTTTGAGAGTGGGGTGGGGAGTGGTGTTGGTGGGGTGGGGATGGATGGGGAGGAGGGGGAGGGCGAGGGCGGTGGGGGGAAGGAGGAGGTGGTGGTGAGGGACGGGCGGCGATGGGTGCGGGCAGTGCATGCAAACCTTAAGAGCGCCAACGTGCTGCTTGACAACCAGGGGAATGCTAAGGTGAGGCCCCACTTGCACTTGTGGGTTTGGGTTTAGAGCACTCGTGCGTCTTGGTGCCGGCGGTAGGTGCGGGCGGTGCATGCGAACCTCAAGAGCGCCAACGTGCTGCTTGACAACCAGGGGAACGCTAAGGTGAGGCCCCACTTGCACTTGTGGGTTTGGGTTTAGAGCACTCGTGCGTCTTGGTGCCGGCGGTAGGTGCGGGCGGTGCATGCGAACCTCAAGAGCGCCAACGTGCTGCTTGACAACTCGGGGAACGCCAAGGTCAGTTTTGAGTTGACTCGGCTGCACAGCACTGACATCTCACAGCACTGACATCTTCGCTGTCACTCCCGAGCTAGCCATTCCCAGGGTCCTTCGGGCTGGAACGTGGAAAGGTGCCGCTTTTTCTTCGTCTCCGTGGTTGGTTCACTTCACTCTCTCAGCTTGCCCCCAGGGTGCGTGTGCTTTGGATCCACACTCTTCAATGGCAGTTCTCTTCCCCTTCACCTTCAACACCCTCTTCCTCCCCATCCTCTTCCTCTCCTCTCCCACCCCTGCCTGCTCCCCTTCCCGCCCCGGTCCCCACTCCCCCTTGCAGGTCACTGACTACTGCCTCTCTCGACTGGCGGAGGACGCTCTTCCCACCAGGCGGGGCGGCAGAGCCACTGGCACGTTCGGGTACCTCGCACCAGAGTACGTGCGTGCAGCAAGGGGGAGGGGGGACTTGAGTGGGGTGGGAGGGCTTGGGTGTGGTAGTCATGGGTGTGGAACTTCCATCTTGGGACCTCCTCCTGATTCGTTTCCCAACTGCACCTAACCTTTCTCTGCTTGTTGTGTGTTGTGTGCGGTGCAGAGGGGTGCTGTTCGGTGTGAACACGCAGCGCAGTGACGTGTACAGCTTTGGGGTGATCCTACTGGAGCTCATCACAGGGCGAAGGCCCATCGACCTCTCCAAGCGACCCGACGAGCAGTCCCTCGTCTCATGGGTATGCTGACCTTCTCTAGAGAGTCGCTTGCTCTCACCACCCACATGCATGTTGCATGCACTCACCACCCACATGCATGTTGCATGCACTCACCACCCACATGCATGTTGCATGCACTCACCACCCATGGACCACTCCAAGCAACCCAACGAGTAGGCCCTTGTCACAAGGGTGGGTTCCTCTTTCTCAATCAGTGCATCCTCGTCCTTTTATAAATGGGTTCCATTCTGTCGTGGTTTGGTTATGAGCCTGCTTACCATCTTTCAAGTGTATGCTGAGTCAACCAGCTGCTGAGCACGTCCTTGAGTATGGTTCCCTCTTGCCCCCACTGTCACCACTACCCATTGTGCCAATCCCATGCCATGCATGGCCCCCAATGCCAGGCTGTGCCGCTCATCCACAGAAACGAGAAACTCGCCATCGCCATCCCTGCCTTGCTTATTTTCAGTGGACTAACAAAGCGTTTTCATGTCTCCCCCCCCCTCCCCCACTTTGTCACTCCAGGCCGTGCCGCTCATTGACCGGGATGAGACGCTTGCCATTGCTGACCCGGCCTTGCGGAACCGCTTTCCACCAACCAGCTTCCACCACTTGGCTACTGTTGCTGCAGTGTGTGTGCAATCTGAGCCGTCCTTCCGGCCAACGATGACACAGGTCCTTGGATCGCTGGTCCCTCTCATTGACCTCGCCGAGCAGTGGAAGAGCCAGGGGAAGCCACATGCCGGGCCCCTCAAGTCTGCTTCTCCGCCCTCATCTGGTTTGACAGAGAATGGTGAGCATGGCCCTGGTGGCTCACCCAGGCCATCTTTTCCTATGGCCAAGTGCCTGATTTGTCACGAGCATCCACGTAACACTACCGTGCAGCCATGCTCGCACAATGTTACGTGCGAGCAGTGTGCTTCACTGCTTGTGTCGCGGAAGAAGCAGTGCCCTTTGTGCCATCAGAAGATCGAGCGAGCTGTGACGAAGGGAGGAATGGTGTTTTCACGTAACTAGTATGAATAATCTGTATCTGTAGAATACTTTGGTTAATCAAAGACCATTTGCCAAAAATCAAGTTCATGACCATCTGTTTCACTATTTAAGAATAAGTTGCGAAGGTGTAATATTTCCTAAGTGTAGCTCCATATGTGATCGTGTCTGCGCAAGTCTCGGCGGCCCTGCTTGTCGTGAGGTATCCAGTCGTTGTTATCGAGGCAACCAGGGTGACGGTTGCGTTGGTCGGTTTGGGGCGCCAGCCAATCTTATTCGTGCCGAGCCACCTCAGCGAAGGTGAGTCTACTGGCTGGGCCGCGGCGTGTCAGGTCTGCAAGCGACCGTCAAAACGGCTGCACCTCGAGCGATGTCAGCCGCACACCAAGCACACGGCAACCACCGCCTTCCACTACTCAGCTGAAGACATCCTGCGACGCCATTGAGAAGCACGCAACCAATCGGAGTGCTCTTCCGCGCCTCAACTGCAAGGCTCACGTGCATAAGCAGACGGACGGAACTTTCTGCTCCGTCAGTTTCTTGGGTTCCTCGTGTCCGTCGATTCCCAGACCTGAACCCTCCTATGCTTCGTTCCCTTCGCCAGGCCTGCCAACAGCCCTCGATAGTTCCCATTTTGCTGTTTTTGTGGTTCCAGCTCCTTCTGCATTTCAAGACAACCTCCAACACAAAATATACGATAGACGGACGGAACTTTCTGCTCCGTCAGTCCAGGCAGTCTCGAGGGCGGGATTGCTGGGTAGTCTTGAGATTCTTCACTCAACTGTCTCTCGCCCGCCATTGTTTCCGTGTGATTGCATTCCGCCCTGAATTAGACACGGTACTGTACTGGCGCTGAAGCCGGGCTCCTTTTCGCACTCGGACTATCCGTTCCCAGCCTTATTGTCACCGTCAACGACGATATCAACGCTCTTTACAGTGACAACAAAGCGTTACATCAGTCTCGGGAATTTATCCAGTGTCGACCTCTTTTGCTTATATTTCCCGAGCTGCTAGAATAGACAGCGGGCGTACCAGGGTTACAGATGGTACTTCACCGGCCGAAGCAGCACTGCAAGCAAGAGCTTCGAGAGCTCGACGTGCTACCAGTCAGCACGTCGAAAAAGCACCACCACCACCACCACCACCACCACGACCACTATCACCACGACCACCATCACCATCATCACCAGCAACAGCAGCAGCAGATTTACCGGCAGGGCCACGCGAACGAGGCGGCGGACGGTAACGATAACGGCGACGACGATCCGCTGCCGGTGGGGCTGGGCGCGCTGGACTGGGCGTTCAACATGCTGCGCTGGTGCCCCGCCAGCGACCTCGAGCTGCGATCGTGCGAATGTCGCCTGCTCTCGTTCGTTAGGTGCGATTACCAAGCTCTTGCTCGTTACGTGGTAACAGAAGGTGCGGATACCAGTTCGTTAGTCGTTCAGTAGGTGCAAGTACCGCCTGCCGCTCATCTAATGTTTCGTAGGTAAAGCCCTTGCCTTTCGTCCATCTCCCCCGCCTCCTTCCCGCTTCCTCCTCCTCCTCCCCGCTCGCTTCTTCCTCCCCTCGGTCCGCCTTTCCTCGGTCACTGGCAGTATAAGCGAGCCTTGTCTTCTTCAGTCCCTCCTCGCATGATGAGCGAGACATGTTCTCTACACGCCATCCGCCATGGCTACTCCAAGCATGCTGCATTCCTGCTTCACTATAGTGCACATCGTTACTGTGTGTAGTAGAAAGAAACGGGTTGTTCTCGGCGTACTGCATCTCTGCCGCTTATTTCTCACCGTCCCGCATACCCCCGCGCCCGCGTCGTGCAGGACCCCGCATCGCGTGATCCAAATCGACATCGGCCACCCGCCGGCCGTCCGCAAGAAAGCCACCGTCTGGCCGTCAGAAAATCCGCTGGAAGACACCCTGTCGTGGGGCTGGCAGAAGGCGGCGGAAACCGACGGCGGAAGCGGCGGCGGCGGAAGCGGGGGCGCAGGCGACGGCGACGCGGCGGAGAACTGCTTTATCAACACGCTGGTGGTGGGGGCGACGACGTGCCGCGGCGACGGGCGCGGCGACGAGGAGGAGATGAACGGGAAGCCGAACCTGGTGATGATCCACGGGTACGCCGCCGCGCTCGGTTTCTTCTTCCGCAACTACGACGCGCTCGCGGAGCACTTCAATGTCTACTCCATCGACCAGCTCGGGTGCGTTGGGTTTGACCAACTCGGGTGCGTGGCTCTCGGGAAAAAGTGACCACCTTGCGTGTTTGGGACGTGTTTATGTGTGGTTGGGGTCCTACGTGGGGATCTATTGGTCTACGTGTTTATGTGTGGTTGGGGTCCTACGTGGGGATCTATTGGTCTACGTGTTTATGTGTGGTTGGGGTCCTACGTGGGGATCTATTGGTCTACGTGTTTATGTGTGGTTGGGGTCCTACGTGGGGATCTATTGGTCTACGTGTTTATGTGTGGTTGGGGTCCTACGTGGGGATCTATTGGTCTACGTGTTTATGTGTGGTTGGGGTCCTACGTGGGGATCTATTGGTCTACGTGTTTATGTGTGGTTGGGGTCCTACGTGGGGATCTATTGGTCTACGTGTTTATGTGTGGTTGGGGTTCTCCTTTCGCAACTGCGACGCCTCGCGGAGCCAATCAACGTCTACTCCATCGACCAGCTCGGGCGCGTGCCTCACGGGAGGAATGAATTGGCCAGCTGTGTGTGGAAGGAAGCGTTTTGCGTGTGGTTAGGGAGGGAAACGGAGGGGAGAGGTGGAGCTGAGAGAGGGAGGAGAGAGGGAGAGCAGACACAAAGAGCAGAGAGTGGGAGCAGATAGGAGGAAGCGGAAGAGAGAATGTACGTTGGACGTGCGTAGGCAAGAAGGGAAGCAGCGTGTAATGTGCAGGGAACGACGTTGTGGATGGTACGGGGAGGAGTGGGATGGAACAGGGCAGTGCCGAAGGATGAGGCATTTGCTGTCGCTAGCTAGCCCTTGCTGCTTGGCTTGATACGAACGAGCGATGCAATAAATCCAACACTCATAGCACCTCTCCCAATTCCGTGTGGCTCCATGGCTTGGCATGGCAGGTGGGGAGCTTCCAGTCGCCCCACATTCACACCAGCTTCTCCGGAAGGTAAGGTACAATATCAGTGAGGCGCAACTTTTCTCGTACTTCTGCGTCCAAACTGTTTGTCGAGGCGCTTCGTAGCCGAGACATGGCAGGTCGTTTGCGTTCCTGTGAGCTGCTCGTCTTGCACTCTTCTCCTCTTGATTGATTGCCTGCCACACATGGACACGCACTTGCGTTGGTCCATGCCACGCTCACTTGCACCCCTCACTCGCCCCCCACTCCCCTTCACTCGCCCAGCACACCCCCATCAATCCCCCTGTCGTTTCCCCACACACTCCCCCCCTCTCTTCCACCTCACTCCCCCTTCATTCCCCTCCTCACTTCTTCCTCACTCCCCCCTCACTCCCCCCTCACTCCCCTCTCACTCCCCCTCAACTCACCGCCCTGTGCACGCACCCACCAGAGGCGGAGACATGGTTCGTGGAGGTACTGGAGGCGTGGTGCAAGTAGATGGGGCTGCGGCGCTCCACACACCTCACTCCCTCCTCACTCCCCCCCCACATCTCCCTCCTCACTCCCCCCGCACATCTCCCTCCCCCCCTTGTCTATGCGCCCCCCACCAGAGGCGGAGGCATGGTTCGTGGAGGCACTGGAGGCGTGGCGCAAGGAGATGGGGCTGCGACGCTTCGTGCTGCTCGGCCACTCCTTTGGAGGCTTCGTTGCCTCTAGATACGCGCTCAAGGTGGGTGAGGGCGTGATACGCGCTCAAGGTGGGTGAGGGCGTGATACGCGCTCAAGGTGGGTGAGGGCATGATATGCGCTCAAGGTGGGCAGAGAGCGCTGTTGAAAATTTTGTTTGTGCCTCCCTCCCTCCATGCACCCTCCCCCCATGCAACCCCACTTATGCTGCCTCCACCCATGCTCTATCCTCCCATGCTGCCTCCCCTCTGTGCCTCTCTTGCTGTCTCGCCTGCTGCTACCTCCCCCATGCTCCTCTCCCTGCCTCCCTTGCTGCCTCCCATCCTTGCCCCTCCTCCCTCCCTGCCTCCCCTACTGCAGTACCCGTTGCGGGTGCGCCTGTCATCTGGTGCTGGTGGGGCCGGCGGGCTTCAGCCACGAGTCAGCCAAGATGGATGCAGCACTTCCGCTCCACCTGGCTGGCTACCAACACATGGGACGACCCCTCATTCCTCACTCCCTCCCTCATGCTGCCTCCCCTCCCTGACGCCCCTACTACAGTACCCATCCCGGGTGCTCCGTCTGGTGCTGGTGGGGCCGGCGGGCTTCAGCCACGAGTCGGCCAAGATGCAGCTCTTCCGCTCCACCTGGAAGGGCTTTGTCTTCCAGTGCTACTGGGACACCAACATCCCGCCGCAGCAATTCATTCGGTACGTGGCATGCCCCAGCAGTTCATTCGGTTCATGGGTTTAGGCGGCAGCAGCTCATGCAGTTTGCACCACCTCCAGTAGAAGGTGCCTGGTACATATTGTCCTATTCTTTTAGATTTTTCCACCTTGTTTTCATCCCACCCACCCTCCTTTGCCATCACTGTCAGGTGGCTGGCTCCTTGGAGTTTTGACCACCTGTCGACTCCATAGAAAAACTCACATTGTGAGTTTTTCCAGTCGACTCGCCAGTCACCCGTCTCCACCTCAGTTCTCCCGCTGACTGGGTATCTGGAGTAGAGCGCCTTTTGACACGTCTCAAAAGTTGAGACGTCTCAAAAGTTGACACGTCTCAAAAGTTGACACGTCTCAAAAGTTGACACGTCTCAAAAGTTGACACGTCTCAAAAGTTGACACGTCTCAAAAGTTGACACGTCTCAAAAGTTGAGACGTCTCAAAAGTTGACACGTCTCAAAAGTTGACACGTCTCAAAAGTTGACACGTCTCAAAAGTTGAGACGTCTCAAAAGTCCGCCCAGTGCGCCCGCTGGCAGGGTATCTGGAGTAGAGCCATTGTGAAGCTCTTTCTTCTCCTTGTCCTCCTTGCCCCTCTCTTCCTCTTCCCCCACTAGCTGGTTGGGTCCCTGGAGTCGAGATTCGGGACATTGTGAGGAGCGCAACCACACAGCGATGGTCCGACCTGCCACTGAAACGCTGCCTGCCTTTTCTTCCTCACTCCCTCTCCTCCCCTCTCCCCTGCTATCGGCAGCTGGTTGGGTCCCTGGAGTCGGGACATTGTGAAGACCGCAACCACACAGCGATGGTCCGACCTGCCACCACCACAAGAGAACATGACCCCCGAGCAAGTCGACGCCTTCTGTGGTACGTTCTGGGAATCCTCCTTCAAAAGGACGTTGTACTCAAACGAATGTGTCTCTCAAGCCGATTGGTTCCTTGTGTGGGGGTACGTATGGTGAGTGAGAAGCATTGGTCTCTTTTGCATGGGTTTAGTGTTTACTTGTGGCGAGAGGTGGATGAACCCGCATTGACGTGACGTGCATCAGTGTACTGATCTCCCTCTCTCTTTCCTTCTCCCCTCCTCCCCCCACCCCCCTCCCTCCCCTCTTCCCCCCCTCAATGCAGACTGCATATACCAGACGCTCTCAGCCCCCATGAGTGGCGAGCAATGCATCAAGTTATCACCTTCCCTCACGCCTTTCCCTCTTGTGCTGTTATTCCCCACGCTCTCCCCACCCCACCCGCCCCCCCCCCCCCCCTCTTTTCCCCCACCCCCGCCAGACTACATATACCAGACGCTATCAGCGCCCATGAGTGGCGAGCAGTGCATGAAGTTTATCTTCTCCCTGGGGGCCTTTGCTCGCCGCCCGCTCATCGACAGGTGCGTGTGAGAGAGTAGGAGGCGTTTGTTGCACGACGCATTCTCATATGAGGGGCCATCTGTGCTGGCTGTGGGCTGTTGCTGTAAAACCCAGCTTCAAAATAAGAATATATTTTCTGAAGCTGAAGCCTCAGGGGGGGGGGCGTGCACAACTATGTGCAGTAGCCATTCTCTTTCCATATCCGTGCTTGTTGCTATGCCTTCACCTCTCCAAAGTGCTCTGGACTGTTTGAGTGCACTAGACTACCGCTGCACACTTAGCCATCTACAAAGCTCGGGCACGTCTCACAATCTCTTTCTCCCTCTGATGGCATGGCTGTTTGCATGCTTGCTCATGTGTGCTCCTGTGTGATTGTGGATGGGTGTCCATCGGTACATAACGGTGCAGTGCGGTGCACTGGAAGGCGCCGACAACGTTCATCTACGGGGAGCAGGACATCATGGACCATCGGGCAGGGCTTGCAGCGGCCAAGCAGATGCCCGTGCCGGCCGAGGTCTTCAACGTGCAAGAGGTGCGTGTGTGTGTGTGTGTGTGTGTGCAGTGCGGTGCAGTACATAACGGTGCAGTACATAACGGTGCAGTGCGGTGCATTAGCTGCCCACCAACAGGCAGGGCTGGCAGCTGCCAAGCAGATCCCTGTGCCGGCTGGGGTTTTCAACGTGCAAGAGGTATGTGCGTGTAGTGTGTGCCTGAGTGTTTCTGCCCATGTGTGTTTGGTTTGTGCAATGTGAATTGGTGCATAACGGTGCAGTGCGGTGCACTGGAAGGCGCCAACCACAGGGCAGGGCTGGCAGCAGCCAAGCAGATGCCCATGACGGCAAAAGTGTTCAACGTGCGCGAGGTACGTTCATGTGTGTGTGTGTGTGTGTGTGTGTGTGTGTGTGTGTGTGTGTGTGTGTGTGTGTGTGTGTGTGTGTGTGTGCGTGTGTGTGTGTGTGTCCTCATGGTGTCTTTCCGGTTGTTTAGTACCAGTAAAACCAGATTCTGGGATACAGTCAGATGAAATCTACGTAACATGACCCCTTTTAATGTGAAGGCACGCAAAAGGTGTACCATTTGAAAAGCACATTATATGCCAGTTCTCGTCTTCAAGTCCCTGGCTCCTGTAGATCACTCCTAACACTCAACCTGCCGTGCTCGTCTCTCCTCTCCACCATACCCTTGGACTTATTTCCAGGTTGGCCACATGCTATTTTTGGAAAAGCCTACCATTTTCAGGGATGCCATTTTGTACGCTTGTCGAGACATTCTCCCTGCGAGCTGCTCCACAGTGGATGCGGCGTGGAAGCATGTGGAACCCCACCACATCCCCCTCACCACCTGCCATAAGATTCATCTGGACATGACTTCAACGGTTCTGATCGCGCCGCAAGGAAACAGTGGTGTGAGAAGATTAGCCAGCGGCTGGGGGATTGGTTGAGGGGTGGGCAAGTGAAGTGTGCTAACGCGGCTGCTTTGTCTTGGCTGATTGTTGAGCTGATATGATCCGTGTACATTTGGGTGTAAAAGAAGTTGGTCTCAGGCGTTTTATGACCTGTTTTTTCAGTACTAATTTACTTAGCACAGAAATATGACATTCTGTATGAATTTGGTGTTTAGGTACGCTGTTCAATCTGTGTGCTACTAACGAAGGTTGGATTTTTCTCCTATCACTTGGAAGTAAGGGCGCGTGACTTTTGCTGTAGAGGCTCGAAAAAATGGTTGAAGTTTTTATGGTAGCCCCTTTCGCAAATACCGTCAAATGTTTCGTCCGTGCATCGTGTGTCCTTGTACAGTGTTACGGGTGCAGTGAATCGAGGTAGCGAGAATTGCACTAAGGTGTCAAACGAGTACAAAATGTGAGCGAAGGCATGAGCGAACATTTATACGCGAAACATGCAAAACGGTAACGCGGTGCGTGCGAGCTTGCTAGTGCTACGCTGGAACGAGGCTCGGGCTAGTCCCGAAGCGTAGGCCGATACGGCCATGCCAGCAGTGCGAGGTTTGGCAAAACAGTGCGCGCGAAGTCGGCGAAGTTCCGTTAGCAGTAACGGGCGAACAATCGGCTGTTTGCTGTACGCGATGTAGTCGGCTCCGTAAGGAATGCCGAGAAAATTCCTTACACTACCCCCCCCCTCAAGAAGCCCCCTCCGCTACGCGAGTGCGTGTATATCGCGGAATCCCCGGCTCCTCAGGTACACTTGCAGGGCAGGGTGATTTTCGATGTTGCTCAGGGGCACCCAGCTATCTTCAGTTGGCGTGCGGTCTTTCCAGCGAACGAGGAATTCAATCCTCCTGATTCCCGTGGGGTGGCGGATCCGATGGCTCAGAATTTTTTCGGGCTCGATGATCGGCTCTGATGCAGGGCGAGTCATTGATTGTGGCCGGTGACGCGGCAGTTGACTTGTGGTCGAGATGTATGGGCGAAGTAGGCTGACGTGGAACGAGGGGCTGATGTACCAGTCGGTTGGCAACAGTAAGTGTGCGGTGACGGGTGTGATCATGTGACTGATTTGGAATGGTCCACAGTAGCGTGGTCGTAATTTTGGTACGTCGGGCAGTCGCAGATTTTGCGTGTCGAGTAGCACGTAATCTCCAGATTGATACGTGACGGGGCGGCGGTGGCGATCAGCGTTGCGCTTAGCGATGACGTTGGCCTTTTTTATTGCTTCGGCGGCTCTGGCGCGGGCAGCTTGCAGGATTTCGGCGAATTGTTGTGCGCGTGGCGTTGGGTTGTCCGGACTCGGCGTCATGGGCACTGTGGGGTTCTGCCCATAGTTCAGGTAGAACGGGGACTGCTGCGTCGTGGCTGATGTGGCGTTGTTGTACGCGAACTCGATCAGCGGCAGCTGCTGCTCCCAGGTCGTGGGGTCGTCGCACGTGGCACGAATCAACTGCTCCATCGTCTGATTCGTCCGCTCCGTTTGGCCGTCGGTCTCGGGGTGGTACGACGAACTGAACTGTAGCCTGGTCCCGAACTGCTCCCAGAGGTTCTTCCAGAAGTTGCTGGTAAACTTCGTGTCCCTGTCGCTGATGATTGCTGCTGGTATCCCGTGCAGGCGAACAACGGCTGCGATGAACAGGCGAGCGGTCTCCTCGGCTGAGATCGACTTTTTGCACGCAGCGAAGTGTGCCATCTTCGTCAGCCTATCCACGACGACCATCACCGCGTCGTTACCCCCAGGGTTCGAAGGTAACCCTGTGACGAAGTCCATGGTTACTTGCTGCCAGGCGCGTTCGGGCGGTGGGATCGGCTGCAACTGACCCGCCTTCCGCTTCCTTGAACTCTTCATCACCTGACACGTCGGGCACGAGCCCACGTGCTGCTGTACGTCGGTCAACAGCTCCGGCCAGTAATAATACCGCTGCAGTTGCTGTCGCGTTTTTTCGACCCCGAAATGTCCCGAGGTAATCCCGTCGTGTGCCTCCTGCAGTAGCAGCTCCCTCAGTCGTGAGTACGCGGGTACCCAAATGCGGTTGGTGCCTGTTTTTACGTAATAGACTCCTTTTGCTTCTGCCAGTTGCTGTGAATTTCCGGTCGTGAAAAATGGGTCGGTGCGGTATCCGTGGGTGAATAGGCCAGTTAAAAGCGGGTTGGTCTGGGCGAGTAGGATGGCGTGGAGTTGGGCGGTGGGGCGGGTGAGAGCGTCGGCGATGTTGGATGCTCCCTTTTTGTACGTGACGGTGTAGTGAAAATTGGACTCGAGATAGTCCAACCAGCGAATCTGTCGTGGGTTGAGATTCGGTTGGGCGCGAAGGTACTGTAGCGAGCGGTGGTCTGTCCGTACTGTCACGTCGGCGCCAGTCAGGTAACACCGCCAAACTTTGAACGCGTGCACGATCGCTAGCATCTCGCGGTCGTGTATCGGGTAGTTACGTTCGGGCGGGTGTAACTTGCGGGACTCGTACGCGATTGGCTGGAGGCCGTTCCCGAAATCCTGCAACAGTACTGCTCCCACAGCGATGTCACTTGCGTCGGTGACGAGCTCGAACGGACGGTGGGGATCTGCAATGTGAAGGACGGGCGGGGAGCACAAAATATTTTTGAGGGCCGAGAAGGCAGCTTGCTCTTTCTCCCCCCACGTGTACTCAACCCCCTTCCTCAGCAAGTCAGTCAACGGGGCAGTCAACTTTGCCATGTCGGGGACGAACCGGCGCACGTAGTTGACGAACCCCAGGAAACTCTGCAACTCGGTCAAGTTGGTCGGCGCGTGCCAAGCCTGAATCGTCGCGATTTTCTTCGGGTCTATTTCCAGTCCTGCAGCTGAAATAACATGTCCCAAAAACTCCAGGCGGTCCTGTAAGAATTCACACTTAGATGCTTTGGTCAGTAGGCGGTTCTCACTGAGGATTTTAAAAACTGCTTCGATGTCGTGTAAGTGCTGTGCTCTGTCCGGGCTGTAAATCAGTATGTCGTCCAGATAAACGATGACGCACTTATCTAAAAGCGGGCGGAATGCTTCGTTCATGGTCATTTGGAAAGTGGCGGGGGCGTTGGTCAGTCCGAATGGCATGACGGTGTATTCGAAAGATCCGTAGCGTGTTCGGAATGCGGTTTTAGGGCAGTCGGGTGGGTTGACGCGGATTTGGTGGTAGCCTCTTCGGAGGTCGATTTTCGAGGAAACCCGGGCTGTGCGCAGTTGGTCGATCAGTTCGTCGGCTCGTGGGATGGGGTAACGGGATTTGATGGTAACCCTGTTCAGTGCCCTGTAGTCGATGCACATGCGAAAACCCCCGTCTTTTTTTGGTGTGAACAGTATTGGTGCGGCGAAGGGCGACGAACTAGGGCGAATGAATTCCTTTTCGAGCAGGTAATCGAGCTGCTTCCTTAGTTCGTCTAGTTCGGGTTGGGTCAGTCGGAACTGTCGCTGTACTGTTGGCTGTGCCCCCGGTTCCAGTTCTATCCTGTGATCGTGCGGTCGCTGAGGTGGCAGTCCCGTCGGTAAGTCATCCGGGAAAATGTCACTGTACTGTTTTAACAGTGCCGCCAGGTCACTCGGTACGTCGGTCAGCAGTTTCTGCAAATCGCCCCCCTTGTCTGCTGCCTCGGCTTCCCGAATGTCAACCGCGTACACGTCAGCTCCGGCCGCTACATCGCGTTTCATCGTGATTGCATTGACACGCACCGACGAAGACTCAGGCGAGCCCCAGCGAGGTAAGGCGATGTTGTTACTGTTTACTCGCACGGTGCAGTCACCCGTCGTCCAGTCAATTCGCGGATTGTGTCGTCGCAGCCAATCACGCCCGAGTAAAATGTCGGTTCCGTCGAGGGTCGTTGCGAGCATTTCCTGGCTAAACGTGAAGTTACCCCCGCATCGAATCCGAACTCGGTCTACGCGTTCCCGTATTGCCAGCGGCGTGCCGTCTACCAGTCGTGCGTCGATCTCAGGTAAGCATCGGTCCAGTGGCAGTCGCAGTTTTCGTGCTGTAGCAGTGTTAATGAGGCTGTGGCTGGCTCCCCCGTCTACGAAGATTTTAACTAAGTCCGTCCCAATTTTCCCACTGAGCAGTATAGGGCTATCTACCGTGGTACCCTCCTTATTCGGCCAGGTGTGGTCGATTGCGTGAACCGGCACAATCACTCGGTGAGGGTCGGTTGGGTCGGGCGAGCGGCGTGACCTGTCAGTAGAGGGCCCGTCTGCTACTGACTTCCAGCGTTTCCCTGCTGCTTGGTCTGTGTCTGCTGCTCAGCTTCCCCCTTTCCCTTAGCGTTTTCCGGGCATTCGCTCTTGCGATGTCCCGGCCGATTGCACGCAAAGCAGCGCCCTTTGAACGGTGCGGCAGCGGCATTTGCGGCGACGGCGCGTATCGTGGCGCTTTCGTTCGTCCCACGAGGCCGATGTCCCCAGTTGTTGTTTCCGTAGGACCCCGGTCTCGGTCGGCGAAAGAAGTCGAGCTTCTCCGCCATAGCGAGAATTTCCTGAAATTCGGTGACGCCGCGAAGCTGGATTTCCTCAGCGATGTCCTGCTTCAGGCCGCCGATGTAGCGGTCGATGCGTTCGCTCTCATGCATGTAGCCCACCTGCTCGCATAGCGCCAGAAATCCGCTCGTGTAATCCTGGACGGAACCGAGTTGGCGCCAAGTGCGGAGCTTCTGTCGCGCCGAGATCGAGGCCGCGATTGGCTCAAATCGAGCGCGCAGACCTGCGCACCACGCGTCCCACGTGCGATACTGGGGCACCTCCACGAAATACGACGGCGCCCAGGGTCCGGTTTGTCCTTCCCGTGTCGGTAGTGTCGCGTAGTCGGTCGGCTTCGTGACGATGACGCGCCACCAGTCCATGGCGGGTCCTCGCAGCAACGACACGGCGTATCGAATCTTCGCCGAGTCCTCCGAGACGTAGTTGGCGTCGAAGAAGACGTTCATTGTGAACAACCACGCCTGAACGGTAGGACCACCCCGTTGACTCGGGTCAAAGCATGGCGGGCGCTGCGGCTTCAGCGGCATCGGTGACGGCAGTCCCGAATCGTGGGTTGGTGCCGAAATCGTGACGCGAGGCTGACTTGGGGCCGCAGGCGTCGTTCTGGGGTGTGTCGTGCCGTGTTCGTCGTCTCCGTCGGGGCGGACGACGCCATCACTGGCCGCGCTCGCGGGTTGCCCCACACTCCCGTGTTGTGATGTTGAGGGTGCGGGTTGAATCGGAGTGCCAGGTGCTTGAGATTGTGCTCTCAGGAGGTCATTTTGCAGTGATGAGCGTTCTGCCGTCAATGCCGCGATTTCCTCGGAGCTTTCGTGCAGTTGTCGCAGCAGATCGTTCAAACGCTCCTGCGTGAGAGTGGTGACGTCGATGTTTTCGGCCATGACGAAGGGCGTCGGCTCGTCTTAGTCTAGGCGCAGTCGTGGCTGCACGCGTTTACGAGAGAACGCGAGGACAGCGGCTCCTAGGGGCTAAGGTGCGTGAGTCCCTTCGAGTGAAAAATCAAAAGTTGATTTCCTGGTGTGCGGAGATGCGCGGTCCGAAAGAAAAGGGCTCTGATACCAGTGTTACGGGTGCAGTGAATCGAGGTAGCGAGAATTGCACTAAGGTGTCAAACGAGTACAAAATGTGAGCGAAGGCATGAGCGAACATTTATACGCGAAACATGCAAAACGGTAACGCGGTGCGTGCGAGCTTGCTAGTGCTACGCTGGAACGAGGCTCGGGCTAGTCCCGAAGCGTAGGCCGATACGGCCATGCCAGCAGTGCGAGGTTTGGCAAAACAGTGCGCGCGAAGTCGGCGAAGTTCCGTTAGCAGTAACGGGCGAACAATCGGCTGTTTGCTGTACGCGATGTAGTCGGCTCCGTAAGGAATGCCGAGAAAATTCCTTACATACAGCATTGTGTATGAAAGTAGGACAATTAACCTGGGTCGAGTTTTCAAAACAAACCATGCGCGCACTAAACGTCAGTCGTGTGTCCTCTTGACCATACACGAGGAAGCGGCGGATTTGGCGACAATCGCGGCACGAGCCAGTTCGGAAATCATGGTCCTGGCCTCTTCAATTCACACCTGGTAACCGTTCGTGAGTTGGACGTGCCTCGGGAAAGCTGTAAAAGTTCAACTTCGATTGTCGAACTTTTGTGTGTCCTGTGATCCTCGTGAGTGGAGGAGCAGCGACTCGGGTCACAGATGCGGAAATAGTCGAGCCTAGGTCGACCTAAGTCCAAATGTATTAGTTCAACTCAAAAACTCGAGTTTTGCATGTAATTTCCAAAAGACACGCGCCCTAAGGAGTGCTTTGCCTTTTTGTCTCTCATGCCGAAAACCCTCTCAAGCCAGCCACCAGGTTTGTGGTCCCAGTTATCTCAACAACTCGCTCCGCTTCAGTATAAGCGCTCCGCTTCAGTATAAGCGTCATTTCGATAGTGGTGTGTGTTTCGCGCTCGTCTGACACGCCCGGGCAAACCCTAGGCGAACAGACAGATTCGAGTCGTCAAATTCGGATTGCCAAGTTTGAACCCAAACTCGAGGGGTCTGTGCCTGTCTCTCTGCTCTGGTCCTGCGATCGCAAGAGACAGTACGTGACTACTCGTTCTTCCATGGTCGTGAGCTTGCATTCGCTCTCCGAGTCTCAATATGCAAGCACAGGTGTTCGCGTGAGGAGGGCCTGTTGCCATCACTCCATTACCTCCTGTCCCCTGTGACGCTGAGCGAAAATCGTCTTTCCAGTACCGCACGTGTTGATCCCCGAGTGGATCCGTCTCATTGTCTCCTTCGCTGGTGTGCTGCTGTCGGCCGGGTTCTTTCGACTTGCAGTTTGTCATGACATTTTGCAATCGCCTTCCTAGTGTGAGGTAGGCCTGATTGGTTGTAAGGAGGGCTGACTGGTCGATGCAGCTTCCACCTTAGTTGCGATATGATCGCGAGCCGATCAGATAGGCCCGCCCGATAATGTGGGATCGACCATGGAGGGGAACAAAGACGAAGCCGACTTTTGAGTCCACCAAAACTGATTGCCAGCCGTTCAGATAGGCCCGTCCGATTGCGAGCCGTTCAGATAGGCCAGGTAAGCGTTCAGATGTTGGATCGGCCATGGAGGGGAACAAAGACGAAGCCGACTTTTGAGTCCACCAAAACTGATTGCCAGCCGTTCAGATAGGCCCGTCCGATTGCGAGCCGTTCAGATAGGCCAGGTAAGCGTTCAGATGTTGGATCGGCCATGGAGGGGAACAAAGACGAAGCCGAGAAGGCGAAAGGCCTCGCCGAGACGAAGCTATTGGCGGGCGACGTCGCAGGAGCCCGGCGATTCTGGGAGAAGGCTCGTCGCATGTTCGCGTCGCTAGACGGCCTTTCGCAGATGCAGGCCGTCCTCGACGTTCACGAAGCCGTCGCGAAGCGGTTACCCGGTGTCGGTCAAGGCGAGGTGGACTGGTACCTCGTTTTAGACGTTCCCGATTTCTGCGATGACGATGCGTTGATAAAGAAATCGTACCGGAAAAAGGCGTTGCTGCTGCATCCCGATAAGAACAAAGGCGCGGGTGCAGAGACCGCGTTCAAGTACGTATCAGAAGCCTTCGGTTGCCTCTCCGACAAGGTCAAGAAGTCTCAGTTCGATCTAAGAAAGCGAGCCAGAGCAGCCATCGGAGCGCGCGGCGGGCACCACTCCGCCGCCGGCGCAGCTGCCGCCGCCGCCGCCGCCGCGAGTCGGCAGCACGCCGCGGCAAATCGGCAGCATGGGGGGAGCGGTCGGGGGCATGGAGCGGGAGGGGGAAGCACCGGCGCAAAAGCTGGCGCAGCGGCGGGCGGAGCGGCAGCTCCGCAGTTTTACACGCGGTGCCACCATTGCTGCGCGAGCCTGCTGTGTAAGCAGGACTCGCGCGGGCAGATAGTGAAGTGCCTGCTGTGCGAAAAGATGTTCCTCGCTCTCGAAGTCGACCCACCCGCCAAGGCAAAGCCGGCTGCCGCCAGTGGTGCTCCTGCTGGCGGTAAGGGGCGCGGGCAGCAGAAACAGCAGGATCAGCAGCAGCGGCAGCAGCGGCATCAACAGCGGCAGCAACAGCGACAGCAGGAGCAGCAGCAGCAGCAACAACAACAGCAGCAAAAGCAGCAGCAGCAGCAGCAGCAGCAGCAGCAGCAACAACAGCAGCAGCAACAGCAGCAGCGGCAGCAGCCAGTGCCATTGCGGCCGGCCCCCCAGCCGCCGCCACCTCAGCCGCAACAATCACCACCACCGCCACCCCAGCATCATCAACAGCAACAACCGCAGCCGCAGCCGCAGCCGCAGCAGCAGTCGCAGCAGCAGCAGTATCAGCAACCGTGGTGGCAACCGCAGGCGGGCGGGCAACAGGGCACGGGGGTGCCGCAGACGGAGAGCGAGCGAGCGAGTTTCATGAAGAACATGACGGAAAGCGAGCGCGCGGGTTTCATGAAGAATATGCACGCGCAGTTCTGCGCCGCCGGTATGATGGGGCGCGGGGGGGCCGCGGATCGATGGCAGCACCTGGCGCAATCCGCGCACCAGCCCCACGCGCCCAATGGCTTCTCTTCCGCAGGCGCTGCCGCCGCCGCCGCTGCCGCTGCAGCAGCAGGTGGTGCGGGTGGTGGTGGCACGGGAGGCACGGCGGCCGGGATTCCTGCGTTCGGCGTGCCTTCGTTTCCAAACCCCCCAGCCTCGTTCGGAGGACAGCCGGCGGGCTTGAACCAGCAGCAACAGCAGCAACCACAGCAGCAGCCACAATCGCAGCAACCCGGCCAGTCGCAGCAGAAGCAGCAGCAGCAGCATTATCACAACCCGTTCTCCCAAGCTCCGGCCAGCCCCACACCAGACCACACCGCCCCACACCCTTCTCAACCCTTTGAGCAGCCGTCCCACGCGCAGCAGGCGCAGGCGCAGGCGCAGGCGCAGGCGCAGGCGCAGGGTAGCCTCTTCGAGCGGTTCTGCTCGCCAGGACCCGCTGCGACGGGGTTCCGGCAGGCGTTCGTGAACGACGTGTGGGGCAAGGTGCAGCGGGAGCGCATGGACGAGCAGGCGGAGGGGCGGCGGAGGGACCGCGAGCGGAAAGAGGCGGAGGTGGCGGAGCGGAAGCGCGTGGCGAAGGCGGGTAGGGAGGCGGAGAGGGAGCGGAAAAAGGCGGCTGCTGCTGAGAAGGCGGCGGCGGTTGCTGCGGCGGCTGTGGCGGCCATGGGGGCGGGCGCGGGGAGGGAAGGCGGAGGCGGACAGCCGAAGGGGAAGGCGGGTGAGGAGGTGGGCGGAGAGGGGATGGGCGCACCTGGTGGAAGGGCGGAAGGGGTGGAAGACGTGGGAGGAGAAGGGCGGAGCACGAGAAAGAGACAGAGGGGGAAGGAGGATGTGCTACCAGACGATATGACTGCTGCTGTGCATGCCGCCATGGCTGCCGCGCGCGCTGCTCTTGGGACGGGCGGGATGGATGGCGTGGGGGAACGCGGAGGGCATGAGGCGGAGGGGGAGATGGAGGGCGCGGGGAGACAGGCGAAGAGGACTCGCAGGGAGGAGGATCAGCCAACGGTTATCAATCTGGATTCAGATGGGCCAGCTGAAATGGAGGTGGATGTGATAGAGGTTGGTGGGGTGGCAGGCACAGCAGCAGCAGGGGCAACAGCAGCATCAGTAGCAGCTGCAGTCACAGTGGAGGTGGCGGCAGATGCAGCAGCAGGTGTGACGACAGAGGTAGTTTCAGGCGCTGACGTGGCAGCAGCAGCTGTAGCGAGCAGTGGGCGTGCTGCTACAGCTTTCCCTGGTACAGAGGGTACCACTGCTGCCAGTGCCCTGTCTGGCAGAGACATGAGGGCGGCTGCTCAGTCCCTGCGACAGGCATCCCTCTTTGAAGTCATGCGGGATGCAGCCCAGGGGGCGAACCTCGCCTCCTCCTCTGCTCCTGCTCCTGCTCCCTCTTCTGCGCATGCTCCTCCACCGGTTGGTACCGCTGGTAACCGCTGTAATGCTACAGCTGCAGCTGCGGTTCGGAATGGTCGGGCGACTGTGCTCGACCCCGCGGCACCTGCTGCAGCTGCGGCTGCTGCGGCTGCGGTGAGAAGCAAGGAGGCCAGTGGGGAGGGCGGGGGTGCGACTGCTGCTGCTGCCGCTGCTGCTGCCAGGGGTGCTGCTAATGGTGTGAATGGGGTGGTGGATGAGAAGGGCGGGCAGAAAGATGGGAAGTCGGAGGGTGATGAGGAGGAGGGAATGGAAGTGGCGGATCCGGATTTCTACTGCTTTGACAACGACCGCGAGGAGAGCGTGCAAGAAGGGCAGGTACGTGCAAGAAGGGCAGGTACGTGCAACAAGGGCAGGTACGTGCAACAAGGGCAGGTACGTGCAACAAGGGCAGGTACGTGCAACAAGGGCAGGTACGTGCAACAAGGGCAGGTACGTGCAACAAGGGCAGGTACGTGCAACAAGGGCAGGTACGTGCAACAAGGGCAGGTACGTGCAACAAGGGCAGGTACGTGCAACAAGGGCAGGTACGTGCAACAAGGGCAGGTACGTGCAACAAGGGCAGGTACGTGCAACAAGGGCAGGTACGTGCAACAAGGGCAGGTACGTGCAACAAGGGCAGGTACGTGCAACAAGGGCAGGTACGTGCAACAAGGGCAGGTACGTGCAACAAGGGCAGGTACGTGCAACAAGGGCAGGTACGTGCAACAAGGGCAGGTACGTGCAACAAGGGCAGGTACGTGCAACAAGGGCAGGTACGTGCAACAAGGGCAGGTACGTGCAACAAGGGCAGGTACGTGCAACAAGGGCAGGTACGTGCAACAAGGGCAGGTACGTGCAACAAGGGCAGGTACGTGCAACAATGGCAGGTACGTGCAACAATGGCAGGTACGTGCAACAAGGGCAGGTACGTGCAACAAGGGCAGGTACGTGCAACAATGGCAGGTACGTGCAACAATGGCAGGTACGTGCAACAAGGGCAGGTACGTGCAACAATGGCAGGTACGTGCAACAAGGGCAGGTACGTGCAACAAGGGCAGGTACGTGCAACAAGGGCAGGTACGTGCAACAAGGGCAGGTACGTGCAACAAGGGCAGGTACGTGCAACAAGGGCAGGTACGTGCAACAAGGGCAGGTACGTGCAACAAGGGCAGGTACGTGCAACACGGGCAGGTACGTGCAACAAGGGCAGGTACGTGCAACAAGGGCAGGTACGTGCAACAAGGGCAGGTACGTGCAAGAGGGGCAGGTACGTGCAAGAGGGGCAGGTACGTGCAAGAGGGGCAGGTACGTGGACGTGTGAACAATGGGAGCCACGTAAATGCCTGCCCCTCCACGTCATCCCTTCCCTCCCTCGCTCCCACTTGCCCTCCCCATTCCTCCCCCGCTTACCCGGCCTCTTATTCTCCTCACCTTCACCCTTCCTTTCCCCCCCTCCCCCTTCCTCCCCTTTTCTCCCTCCTGCTTCTTCCCCGTTTCTTCCTCCCCATCACTCGCCCTTCCTCCCCATCACTCGCCCTTCCTCCCCATCACTCGCCCTTCCTCCCCATCACTCGCCCTTCCTCCCTCCCCGTCACTCGCCCTTCCTCCCCATCACTCGCCCTTCCTCCCCATCACTCGCCCTTCCTCCCCATCACTCGCCCTTCCTCCCCATCACTCGCCCTTCCTCCCCATCACTCGCCCTTCCTCCCCATCACTCGCCCTTCCTCCCCATCACTCGCCCTTCCTCCCCATCACTCGCCCTTCCTTCCTCTTCCCCCTCCTCCCCTTCCACGCCTTCCTTCCTCCCCTCTTGCACAAGCTCGTTCGTTTTAAAGCTATGGAAACTGCACTGCACTGCACTGCACTGCACTGCACTGCACTGCACTGCACTGCACTGCACTGCAAGCCAGGGCTTCCATCTCCCTCCCTTCTTCCGCCCCCCTCCCCCCCTGCTTCTGCCCAAACCCCTCTCCCTCCCTGCGCCCACCCCACCCCCTTCCTCTTCCCTCTTTTCGCACGTCGATCTCTCCCTGTTCAAGTCAAGTGCCCCCAGACCTGTTTCATTTCTCCTGTTCTCAGAACCCACCCGTTCTCTCCCCTTCTCCCCCTCCTTCTTCCCCCCCCCCCCCTTTCCCTTGTGCCAGGTGTGGGCGCTATACGACGATAGAAATCGCCTTCCGCGCTTTTACACGCTCGTGCAAAAGGTCTCCCACCGCCCCACCCCTCTTCCTCCTTTCCTCCCCTCCCCCGCCCCACACCCCTTCACCAGGTGTGTACGACGATAGAGATGGCCTCCCCCGTTTCTACGCGCTTGTGCAAAAGGTTTCCCACCGCCCCGCCTGCAAGTGCCCTCCCGTCCCTCCGCCCTCAAACCCTTGTGCCAGGTGTGGGCCCTATATGACGACCGAGACGGCTTGCCGCGTTTCTACGCGCTCGTGCAAAAGGTTTCCCATCGCCCCGCCTTCAAGTGCCGCCTGCAGTGGCTCACGCCCCTCCCCTCCTCCTCCCGCCGCTCCGCCTCCTCCTCCCTCGTGCCCCCATGCGGGTGGTTCCGCCTGGTTACCCGAGCCAAAACAATGGATAGCATCAACGTCTTTTCCTGCCGCTTGCCAGGGGTGAATCTTCACCCGAACTTTCCTCTCGCTGTGTTTCCGCAGCCGGGGCAGGTCTGGGCGGTGTTTACTGACCGGGTGCTGCAGCAGCAGCGGCGGAATGGGACAGGTTTGGGGGGAGGTTCGGGGGAGGGGTTGGAGAGGTATGATGTGGTGCAGGTGGCACGGGAAGGGGAGGTGAAGGGGGGGTTGGCGGCGGTGGTGGGAGCGGCGGGGTTGATTGGGCTGCCTGAGAGGCCGGAGGATGGGGTGAGAGGGCAGTTGGTGGTGTGGCTGCTGCAGCGCATGCAAGGATACACGAGCATCTTCCAGGTATGCCCCTGACCTGCCTCCCACCTCTCTCAGTTGTGCATTTGAGTCGACTCAAGAGCAGTGGTGGTGTGGCTGTTGCGACGCATGCAAGGATACACGAGCATCTTCCAGGTATTCCCCTGACCTGCGTCCCACCTCTCTGTTGTATTTGCAGCTGCGTCCCTCCTGCTGCTTCTGCTGCCGCTTCTGTTGCTGCTTCTGTTGCTGTTCCTGCTGCCCATGCTCCTGCTGCCCATGCTCCTGCTGCTATGTCTCCAGTCTTTTTTAATGCTTGAAGCCTCATTTTGCCCACATTTTGATTTCTTTACCTCGTTTGCCTATAGCACTGGCCCACTCACAAGGAGCCGCATGACAGTGCTTAAAGCCCCTCATTGTTTGCCTCCCGTTGTGACGATGGCAGCGCACGAGCGAGTGTCTGGCAGTGGACGTAACAGTCTTCTCTCACTTCGTCCCCACGTACATCTGCAAGGGCAACGAGGCCAACTCCAAGGGACTCCCCTCCCCGCCTCCAGGAGCCATGGAGCTTGACCCGGCCGCCATCCCTCCTGTCATGTCACCCATTCACACTTGAAGGCTTGCGTGAACTGATTTTTGAGTTGACATAAAAGGGCAACGAGGGTGGCCCCAAGGGACTCCCCTCCCCGCCCCGAGGAGCCATGGAGCTTGACCCAGCCGCCATCCCTCCTCTCATCTTATTCACACGTGAACTTTCGGGACCTGTCTCTCTTGAGGCCTGGTAACTGCCACTAACTTTGTCCTTTTTATTCGTGCTGCATACAGTCTTGTACAAGTCACAGCAAATTCCTTCATAAATATATGGCAACGTATTGTTGTCACGGATTTGAGATTTGCATCAAGTGCCTGTATAGTCGAATTAGTCATGCTGGACCAATCTATATCACGAGTTTTATCCAAGCGTACCATGCTACTATCGAGTCCTGCATACCCACATTGACCGCCAAGGAGCACCACCGAGCACTGTAAGCGTTACTCTACCCTACAAACCCTCACACCGCAACGCATCACGCCGCACCACGGCACACCATAGCCAAACCACTCCCTACCAGTTGCACAGGCTGCCATGCTGGGCACTGAGGTGCTTTTGGTTGCATGAGGATTTGTACACTCAGGCCTGCACGTACATATGCACCTAGCTCATGATCCGCTATGACAACCCACTACTAAACTCCATGCTCGCGTGAGAGCCTGACACGGAGATTTTTCCTTTCTCGTCCTTTCCTTCATGCGCCCTGCGAGGGTCTCTGTTCTGTTCGGCCTAGCCGAGACCCCGCCGAGTCGTCCCGCCAAGCCAGCAGGCCGCCATGCCATCGTTCTTCAATGTGTTTTCCGAACGCCATGTCGGCAATGCCGAAACTAGCTGCGCCCGGGCCGCCATCGAGACGGCTTCCATGAGTCCGTAGAGGCGTGTGCGTGGGCCCTCCTACGCGCCGATTACAGTTTTATCACCCCCCGACGCGAGATTGTGTAGATGCGCGCCAGGAAGCTCAGTTCCGTAAACCAGGGGAGTTGTGGCATCGGCTTGCATCAACAACCTGATCCTGATGGACTAGATGCGAGCCAGGAACCTCCCATGCAGTCGTCGTTGCGTGAGTCGCGGCGGTGGGGAGAACTCACGTGCATTCACTCGATCGCGAATCGCCGATTCAAATGGCTCGCTGGACACGAGGCGTCGCCTTCTCGTGCTCCTCTCGTGCGACTGCAGTAATGAACTTTTCGAGCCTCAGTACTGCGACACGTTCGCCGCGGCACGCGTAGCATGACTCTCACCCCGCGCGAGCTGATTCAGCATCCTCGCCGACTCGCCATATGGCGGTCGTTGCTGCATGATGCTAAGATGATGGCAGCGTGCTTATTATTCCTCACGTCGAAATGTTGTAGCCTTGGGCCTGGGATTGAGGCAGCATGACTAGCGTTGTGAGCCTAAAAAATCACCTCAATGCTCGCAGCCTGACATGTCCATTCGCGCCGCTCCAGCGACGACGAATGGCGCCTCGAGCACAGCATCGACGAGTCGCCGTTGTTCTCTTCCCAGCTGCTGCTCCTCGCACCGCGTCTGACTGAACGACCGACTCATTGGCGGACGGACCCCGGGCCTCCGATTAAGATGCCTCTCATCGTCCCCCATCGTCAGCCTTGGCCTTGTGGTCTCCTTGTCTTGCGTCCTTTTCGAGCACCCTCTCTTGTCGTCCGTCGCGGCTCCGGCGCGTTCTTATCTCAGAAGCAGCTGCGTTCGCTCGCTCTGAGCAAGTCCATCTCATCGTAGTGATAATCGTGAATTCGTCCTCTCGTCGCGACCAAGCAGCATGGGGAAGCTCACGCTTGTGTTGGCGGTGCTGGCGGCACTGCTGGTTCACGGCGCGTTCGCGGAGGAGCAGGAATTCCTTCCCGGGCAGCCCAAGGAGAAATTCCGGGGCACTGGAGGACGCGTGGAGGTGTGGAGCGAAGATTTCAAGCAGCTGGAGGTGAGAGGGGGAGGAGCACATGCTGTTGGGCCATTTCCTCTGATGCCTCAGCCTCGTTTATTGTAGGAAGGAAGCTTCCTGTTCGTTTCTCTTCTTATACTAATCCTTACACTTATCTGTCTCCTGGTCCGGCTTTGTGCCTGTCTCCCGCCCTGCTCGTCGTCACAGGCGGCGGAATTGGGGCCAGCCATGCTCGCTCTTTGATGCATCTGAAATAACCCATCTGACTTTCCCCCTACCCGCCCAACCCCCCCCCCCCCCCCCCCCCCCCCCCCCTCCTCCCGCATCTCCACAGGCGGCTGAAGTGGGGGCAGCCATGCTCACGGTGGAGAGCCAGTCGCTCGCGCTGCCCTCCTACGCTGATTCCGCCCAGGTTAGTCATGCATTCACCGACTCTCCTTCTGCATGCTTCCTTCTACACTTGCGACTCTCCTTTGCTGTCTTGCATTCACTTGTGAGAATTCTCGAAAGTGACTTCAACACTGCATTCTTCCACTCTCCGCTGTATATTACTGTTCTTGTACGCGCCGCTCTCTGCCTGAGGTTTCCGGGAGGACTCTTGTTGGCCTTGATGGTCACTCCCTTGTGTTCCGATGTTGCATGTGTGATTCGCAACACGGCAGGTGGGCTATGTGCTGAACGGCGAGGCCATGGCAGGGCTCATCAGCCCTATGGGCGCTCCTACCACCGTCAGGTAACACTTGTCGTTTCTCGATGGGTGCTCCTGTCACGGTTGCTGCTGCTGACGCAGCCGCAGGCCATTGCTGGTTCTTTTTGCTGCCTTGTAAGCTAAATAGCATGCTCCTCCGTCCTGTCTTGTGCCCCTATCCAGGCGTCTGAGGGAGGGTGACGCGTTTGTGGTGCCGAGGGGGTGGGCGCGGTGGGTGTGGAACAACGGGCAGCAGCCGCTGCGCATGGTCACTCTCGCAGACACCTCCAAGGGCCCTTGCCCCTGCCGCTACACGCCGTTCCACCTCATGGGCGCGCAGAAGGAGGGCTTCGGAGGCGTGCTGCATGGCTTCAGGTATGTTCCAAGGGCCCGCTATTCCAAAGGCCCTGACACCCTCCCACACCTTCACCTCCAAGGGCCCCTGCCCCTGCCGCTACACGCCCTTCCACCTCATGGGCGCGCAGAAGGAGGGCTTTGGCGTGCTGTGCCATGCATTCCGCTTTGCAGTGTGCATGATGATTACGCTATGCCTATGCCATTGCCGCTATCACCATGTCTTGCACGCTGTGTGTTCGTTCTCGTCTGCCTGCAATGCGTTTTGGCTGTTTCTTTTCTTATCAACCCTTTTCTTTCCGTCCCGTGTCTGCTGCAGCAAGGACCTTCTAGCCCACGCGTGGGACGTGGAGGAGAAGGACGTGCAGCAGCTGCTGGACGCACAAAAGGAAACGTCCTTCGTGAAGGTCAGCCCTCAGCTGCGCGCAGAGCTGGAACAGCTGGTCACCAGGCTTGAGCAGACCGAGGTGCTGGATGAAGAGGGAGAGATTGGAGAGGAGACTGAGGCGTACGGGGGCAATGACCAGCCACACTTTGGCAAGGGGGCGAAGCGCAGTGTGAGCATCTTTGCGGAGTTCACGTACAACCTCAAGACCCGCCAGCCGGACATCTACGTGAAGCGCGGCGGCACCGTGACCATGGCGAGCGGATACAAGCTCCCCGCGTTCCGCAAAGTGGGCTTTGCAGTGGCGCGCTTCAGCCTGGAGGGCAACGCCATGACGGCGCCACGATGGCTGGCGAATGCGGCTGCGATGCTGTATATCACCAAGGGCAAGGGCCGTGTGGAGATTGCCTATCCCGACGGCAGCCAGGCGCTGCGCCATGATGTGAAGCAGGGTGACTTCGTGGTCGTGCCTGCTAGCTACCCCCACGCTGCTGTGAGTACACGCTCGCTTGCCAGGTCAAGAGGCCTTAGCTTGCCGGGTCAAGAGGCCTTACCAAGCAGTAAAATTCCTAGCTCGTTCTAATTGTTCCACTGGTCTCCTATCCTCAAACTGTAAAACTCCCATCTTGTTCTGGTTCCACATTCCTTCTTCTGGTCGCAACTCTTTTTGTTCGTGCAGCTGGCATACGGAGAGGGTCTGGAGTGCATCGCCATGATTCCCAAGAGCCGCCCGCAGGCGGGGTTCCTGGCGGGGGCGAACTCGGTGTTCCGCATGCTGCCTCGCACAATCCAGCGCGCCGCTTTCAACGCCGATGAGAAGCTGCTGGAGAAGCTGCGGGCTACCAGGCAGAGTGAGTTTGGCATCCTGCCGCCCAGGAAGAGCAAGGGAGAGGGGGAGGAGGAGATGCCGATGCTCATTGAGCAGGTGGTGGGCTTCTGAGTGGCCTTGCTGTGTTGTGTGGGTATGATTGCGTTTTAGCACCACTTCAATGTACATAGTGTGAGAACTGGTTGGTGTGCTTTTCTCATGTGCTATGAGATGTGTTCTCGCTTCTCAGCAAGTTGGACTTGCCAAAAAACTCTAAAAAGTTGCATATCAGATATTAAGAATTCTTAATCAAGAATTCTACAAGCATGATTTAATGATCACAGCAATGTCAACGCAAAATTGCCTTGACACAGCAAATTCGAGCCTTACAGCACAAGATTTTCGCCCAATCATAGCAAAAGGGCCCTGACACAACAGATTTGCGCTGTCAAAGCACAACAATTTTCGACCAATCACAGAAAACTCTCCCTGACATTGCAGATTCGCTCTTTCGCACCACAAGATTCGCCCTGACACATATAATCGCCCTGTCAGCGCATGTTTTTTCGAAAATCCCCTTAGTGTTGTGTGTTTCGGTAGCAGATGAAGGAAACATTGATTACATTCCGATGAAACATTGAATACCGTATTCCCCCGGACATACCACCCGCCGAAATAGAGCACCCCTCGGGTGGCTTGTGCGGGGGGGGTGCTATAGCGGACCTAGTATCTACTATACCCCCCTTTTGGGGTGAATTTTCTATAGCACCCTCCTCTCATACAAAATTTCTAATTATAGCTGTTAGCGAGTACTGCAGAACATTGCGGAAATAACTTCCGCGATGAAATTTCATGGTAGTTTCAATGTAATCTACCGAAATCACCCCCCTCCCTCTTTTACGCTACTGCCACGCTGGAAGATTGTTCACTACCAAGTGGCCAAAAAGGTGCCACTTGGCAATTTCAAGGGGGGTGAAAAGGATCTCGCCAAAACCCACATTCTCGCTTCTAGCTGTGATGGTAATCCAACTTTGAAAACACCCAAGTTGTCTTTGCATCAAAATCCTTACACTAAAAATACCGTATAAAAAGACCCGGGTGCAATGTAGCTTTTTCCGATGACAAGACCCCCCCCCCATTTTTTTGTGTAGTTATCATAGCACCCTAGGGTGGTATGTCCGGGGGAATACGGTACATAGTTTTTGAATGATCAGACTTTTTTTTTAGGACACTCTGAAATTTCAGCCTGTTTTTTATACCAACTCTGAGATTTTCAGACTAAAATTGTGTACTATTCTGACGAATCAGACAGGCCAAAAACGAATTTAAGGGCCTGTTAGAAGCCCATCACGCGAATCGTAAGTACATGAAACTACCGCCGAAATGATCCTATAATTGAGGAATTTATCGAGTTTGAAAGCCTTTACGCAAAGTTTTATATTTCTTGAACAAGTCCCGCCTCGACTTTGAAGGACCCTGTTTAGTCTAATACCACGGACCAAGAAGTTTCAAAGTTTATATATATATACATATACATATATGGCTCGTACAAAGACGGTTCAAATCATATTTTTGATAGCATCATTGCAAACTTGCAAAATGATTAAATAAAACTTTCCGCGAAAGGGAATCGGGCTTTCAAGTTTTGTAATTACTGCAACGTTCGCCATTTTTTTTTTTTTTTCCATTTGGGAAGGATACACCTCTTTAGTGTGAGGATGAGAACCAAAATGAATGCATTGAGCAGAATGAGGAGTACAAGTAGTAAACCCTAAAGTGTTGTGCCCCATATGAACTGCCCCACTACAGCCTACACAGACTATAGCATATATACCAGACACACCCCCATAGGCAAAGTGGGGGAGAACAAGGGGTCACAAGACCAGTCAAGCAAAGCAAAGCAAGCTCAGGGTGGATCACAACGTTACCACACAGTCCGAGCACAAGAGTAAGGCCACAAGGCCAGTTCACATGCAAGATCATATATATAAAAGTAAACAAGCAAGTGCAGATATAGAAAGAGTACAGTACAAACAAGATCAAGAAATGAGCAAGTGAGGCCAAGTAGGCACAAGACCTAGCACAGTACAGAAGCGCTGATGATCACAAGGCGGAAGTGCCTTGGTAAAGATATCAGCAGTGTTGGCCTCAGAGGCCACGTAGGTGAGGCGGAGCTGACCACGCTGCTGCAGATCACGAGCCAGGAAGTAGCGGAGAGCAATGTGCTTCGTTCTGTGCTACAGTCTGTGCTCCCGACACAAGGCCAACATGGCCTTGTTGTCTACGTACAGAACTGGAGGAGAACGAGGCGGCTCTCCTAGGTCAGTCAGCAGGTAGGTGAGCCAGCGTAGCTCCTGTGCAGCCATGGCCCCCGCGTAGATCTCAGCCTCACAGCTGGAGCTGAGAACAAAAGACGAGCGGGTAGACCGACACGAAACAGAGCCGGAACCAAGGCTGAAGGTGTAACCCTGTGACGACCGCTGCGTAGCCTGGTCGTCAGCCCAAGAAGCGTCTGCGTGACCTGTGAGGACCACTCGACGTCGCCCTCCAAGCACTAGTCCCATGCTCGACGTATTGCACACCTAACGCAACACCCTCTTCGCTGCAGCCATGTGCTCTGGTCGGTGTCTCTCAGGAGCAACATAGCGTGCCAAGATGCTAAGAGGGTATGCAAGGTCAGGTCGTGTGCAGGTCATCAGGTACATGAGGCAGCCAACAAGCTCTGGGTACGGGCCACTCCACTCTACGGACTCATCCGAAGGCAGAGCTGAGAGCGAGTGGCGAGTAGACAGAGAAGTGGCCTGAGGCGAGGAGTACGTGAAGCCGAAGCGCTCAAGGACCTGCTGCACCATGTGTGACTGAGTCAGGGTAATGGTATGATGTGCTCTATCCCGGGTGATCTGCAAGCCAAGGTAGCTGCGCAGTTCACCCAGGTCTGTGCACGTGTGTCTCTTCTACAGCTCGGACTTCACGTGGGCGAGTCCAGCAGTGTCAGCAGTGGCAAAGACCAAGTCGGCGACGTACACGAGGATGTAGAACGGCGGCAAAGAGGTGTCGGTGCGCAGAAACAGCGACGGGTCGGCTGTAGAAGGAGCAAACCCAAGAGCCGCAAGTGTAGTCCTCAGTGTGTCGTGCCAATCAAGGGGCGCCTGACGGAGACCGTAGACTGGCCGCCGGAGGCTCCACTGGGTACCAGGAGGAAACGACCCAGTGAAGCCAGGTGGGCGGCGCAGCCAGATCTCCTCCTGCAGGCTGCTCTACAGGAAAGCCGTGCTGAAGTCAAGAGAGTGAAGCTCGTAGTCGCGCTGAGCGGCTATGTGCAGCAGCACCCAAAGAGTGGTCATCTTCGGGTTGGGAGAGAAGGTCTGAAAGTAGTCAACTCCCTGCCGCTGATTGAAGCCTCGAGCCACGTAACGCGCCTTGAAGACAGGCGGAGAACCCGGCGGCCGCTTCACCCTGAAGATCCACACGCCACTGACGATGTTCGCCCCAGGTGGGGGAACCTCGTCGACGTAGGTGCCTGTGGACTTCCAGGAAGCCATCTCTGCGTCCATGGCCGACTGCCCCTGAGAGGAGTAGGGACCCTCAATCGAGGAGTTGGGATGTCTGGTGCATCCGGGTCTCCCTCAGGTGCAATCAGCGCAGACACGAGATGTGTGAGAGTACGACGGCTTATGCCAGCTATGCTTGCTTGCCTCTACTTTATCATGCTATTTCTAGCATAGGATAATCATATGCATGCATGAATTGCTTGATTTCCTAGGCTAGGTGCTTTCCTATATTTTATTATAGTTATAGCACCGAGCTAGGTTACGTGCACCGAATTCTGGCTTTTCGGTTGCCACCGAATTGCCTTCTACCGAATTCGGTAAGGATCTGTTCGGGACGCTTCGCGACCCGCGGAACCTTCGCGTAACACCTGGTTACGGGGCCTTGTGTCGAGCCTATATATAGCCTCGTGTTGTACCCAGGTGGACATTCGATTCAATTCAATTCAATTCAACTCGACTCAATTCTCATTCTCTTTACTGAACTCGATCCTAGATCCTCACACTTGGTAATCAGAGCGGGTTTACACGCGAGGTCTTCAACCGCTTAGTTCCGGTCTAATATTCTCAGGGTCGTGCGTTCCGTGGAGCTAATATTCTCTCCCCGCAGCACAGTGTTAAGGCTCCCCGTCGCCCGCAGGTGAAGCCTACACAGCTGCCAAGGCTTAGAGGAGACATCCATGCTCAGGAAAAATTATACAAGCCTCGGAAAAATCCTCCTACCCCCCAGGTGAAGTTGGAAAGCGCTGAGTCAGGTATAGGAAAAATGGAAGGTATTAAGTTTGATGTACCCTATGATCCTATTAACAAGACCCTCTTTGGCTACTCAGCACAGCAGAAACCACTACTCCTCGAGGTGTTATGCAATGGGCGACGCCTCCAGGCACTGGTGGACAGCGGTGCATCTCACTCGGGGTGTGACCGCGGAGCATTGGAGAAAATTGGAGAGAAGGCGGAAGAGACCCAGTTTTCAGCAACCATGGTGGAAGGTACGAAGCTTCCTATCCACGGCGAAGCATCACTGCAACTGCATATAGGTGCGTTGAGGTGGAAGCCGAAGCTACCAGTCACCAACATCAAAGGATTAGATTTTATCTTGGGGCGAGATTTTCTGAAGCGGTTCAACCCCGAGATCGATTGGGTCAACAACAAGGTGTGCATCTACAACAATGGTAAGCGGATAGCACTGCGAAGCTGGACGGATACAGGGGACGTACCTGAAACGACACTGGCACGATTCGAACAGACGGTGAACAAGAGTAACACGGGTTACCTAGCACTGGTTATGGCAGCAGCAGAGGAGTAGAAGCCGAGTTCCGAACTACCTGCAGCAGTGAAAGAGGTCTTGGAGCAGTACAAGGATATAATGCTCGACGACCTACCTGCAGGCGTACCTCCAGCACGCACCCACGAGCACGAGATCGTGGAGGAACCAGGTGCGAAACCCGTCTCACGTGCACCATACCGACTGAGTCCGACTGAACTGACAGACATGGAAAAACAGATAGAGTATCTACTGGACAGACAACTGATCCGCCCATCCACCTCTCCCTACGGCGCACCAGTTCTCTTCACTCCAAAACC